CCGCCGCCGCCGCCGCCGCGATGGCAACTGTCGGGGAGCGCCAGCCCCTGCTCAGTCCCAAAGCGATGCTGGAACAGTCATGGGGCTCTGTCGTGAAGACATGCCAATATTTGGTCTCTGTCCGGCGCATGATGATTTCTCCTTGGTGCTATGTGACGACTGTAATTAGGCTGTCAAACCGCAGGCTCTGATTGACCTGGAAGAGTCTGTCTCACTGGCCCACCTGGGAAGATGTTCGCCAGCTGCTTCTGACTCTTCAAGATGGAGAAAAAGAGACACATTATCACTGAAGTATGAAAATGGCTGCAGGGCCGAGCCCCCAGGGACACATTGGATGTTGAAGGGTGGGCCATGACATGACCCCTGACACCAGACCAGACTGGGACTTTCTCTTGGAGTCCTGACTCAGAATGTGGCAGCGCGCTATGGCCTATTTGTCTAAAAGACTGGACCCTGTGGCATCAGGATGGCCACCCTGTTTATGGGTCCTCGCTGCCACAGCCCTCCTGGTCAGCGAGGCAAACAAACTCACACTGGGACAGACTTTAAATGTAAAATTGCCCCATTCCATGGTGGCCCTGATGAACAGCCCAGGTTACAAATGGATAACTAACACAAGGATGACCCACTACCAGGGGCTTCTATGTAAAAATCCAAGAGTACGTCTAGAGACTGTATGAACCTTAAACCCAACCACATATTTGCTGCCTGAGGAGGAAGGGCAGCCTGACCACGACTGTAAAAAAAAAATCATCAAAAAGTGTATGTGAGTAGGCCTGATATAACCGACAAGCCCCTGCAAAACCCAGAACTGGAACTCTTCACAGACAGCAGCAAGTTACATGCAGGATGGATAATGGTGAGCAGGTTATGCTGTAACAACAACCCAAGAGGTGGTAAAGGCAAAATCCCTTCCCCCAGGAAGGTCTGCTCAGTGAGCAGAGATTTGGGCACTGGTCCAGGCACTAAGGGAAGGGAAAAGAAAATGAGTCAATATATACACTGATTCCAAATACACATTTGCAACCTTGCGTGTACATGGAGCCATCTATAAGGAGAGAGGACTTTTGACTGTTGGGAAAAGAAAATCAAAAACAAAGAAAAAATTTTACAGTTACTGGAGGCAGTATGGGATCCAAAGAAAGTAGCTGTTACTCACTGTAAGGGACACCAAAAAGGAAATGACTCTGTGAGCCAGAGGAACAGACTGGCTGATCAAAAGGCGAGAGGCAGCCACCCGGGAACACCCAGTAATTAAAATTATGGCAGCACCAGAGCTACCCACTGCCCCAGAATATAGCCACGACGAAAACAAGTGGGCACAGGCCGAACAAGGAGAGAAAGGAAAGGATGGATGGTGGATCATGATAGATGGAAGGGTTTTCATCCCAGAACGACTAGCTTATCGTCTAGTCCAACAACAACACAAAGCCACGCATATGGGAAAAATGGCTTTGGAGGCCCTCCTAAAGCGATATTTCCTAATTTCTCGTCTCCCTACTCTGTGTGCATCAGTCTCCCAATGCTGCTTGCTCTGTGCTCAAAACAATCCAAAGCAAGGGCCCACTGGGCCAACGAAAATACAATGATGCGGATTGGCTCCCTTCAAAAATTTAAAAGTGGACTTTATTGAACTTGGGCCCAGTAAGGGATATAAGTACCTGCTGGTTTTTGTCTGTACCTTCACAGGGTGGGTAAAGCCTACCCCACCGGGACAGAGAAAGCAAGAGAAATAACAAAGGCTCTCCTCAGGGATGTCATCCCTCGGTTTAAAATGCCTACCTCCATCAGGTCCGACAATGGAGCCACCTTCGTGGCAGAAATTGTACAACAAGTGGCAAAGACACTGAGCATCTGCTGAAACCTACACATAACATACTGGCCTCAAAGCTCAGGGAAGCTGTTAAAGTTGCAGTAACCATCCCTTGGATCCACCACTCCAGGGTTAAGAGAGCAACTTCACCTCATGTCGGTGGCGCGATATCGTGTACACACGAACACTGTGCGGAGAGAAGTGAAGCAGTTCTCTGTTTATTGTTTCTTAGAAAAGGGTTTATATAGGACATGCACGATGCCTCACATATCATCTAAGGTATAACAATGTTAATAATCTTAGCTATTTAGGTCCCCAAGCTCCTGCAGTAAGCACAGGATGCTACATGATCAAGGACAGGTTGTTTGAAAGTTCATCACGAAACTTCATTAAGTAGGCCATCTCTTTTCCAGGCAGCTCTGCCTGTCTTAGGTTGTCCTCCTCTGAGGATCTTACCCGTCATTGGCTATCCAGCCGTCCATACTGGATACATTAAGAAGGCCATTTCTTATCCAGCCTGGATACGTGACATTCTTCACAGCTTGTTTATCAGTTTAGCCCATGGCTTATTCTCTAGAGCCTTCAGATGGGGCCTACACCTCAGACAGAGGGTCCCTAAAAAATTGAGAGTGTCCCAGGAGACCCGCTCAAGATCAAGCTCAAGATCAAGAAGGACCAGAAAAAGATCGACGAGCCCTGCTCTAGGCACACCCAGAAGCTGGCTAGTCAACGCTCGGCCGAAGCTTGAGAATAGCTCAATGGAACTGTTAAATGTATTCCTTTTGTGCTCCCTTGCCTCTTTCCTTGTTTACTACACTAGCCTGCATATTAGCAGTGGGGCTGGCCAGCACCACCCCACCTGACTGAAATATAGGCCATAGGATCCCGATAGCTACTTTATACCTTGTTATAACTAATGCCATCACTGCAGCATCATGTCTAAGATAATCATAAGGCTGATGTTATTGACGCTAATGCCCTCACTCCCCTTACTAGTGGGGCTCAGAATGACAGCAGGGGTGGGCACAGGAATTGGTGGCATAGCCTCATCCCCTTATTACTATTATCAGCTTACAGGTGAGTTCAGCCAGGATCTCCAACAAATAACAAAAACCCTGGGAGCTCTGCAAAATCAGATTGTCTCTCTAGCCAAGGTGGTCTTACAAAACAGGAGGGGCCTGGACCTACTCACGGCCAACGAGGGGGGACTATGCCTCTTCCTAAAGGAAGAGTGCTGTTTTTTTAAGCCAATCAATCAGGAATTGTCAGAGGGATGTTTCAAAAGTTACAAGACCAAGTGAAAAATTAAAAACATATTTTAGACAAGAGCCCATGGACAGGCCCGTGGGGCTGGACCTCCTGGCTGGCACCATTCATAAGTCTCTTGCTCCTGATTTTTGCAGTTCTGCTATTTGGGCCCTGTATCCTAAACTTCCTGACCTGCTTTGTCAGTGAGCACATAGAGGCTATAAAACTTCAGATATTAGCCTCCAATTATGAGCCCTTGCAACACATAAGTGATGATGCTTACTCCCACAATGGTTGTGAAAGCATCAAGAAGGGAGAACGTGAAGGAAAAGCCCAGCTGGGCTAACAAGCTAACTCATAAATCTAAGTGTAACAAGTGTCGGATTACTGATCTGAGTTCTGCCGGGCTAACTCATAAATCTAAGTTCATAAGTGTCAGCTTGCTGATTCCCAGGTGTTTTGTTTTGTTTTTTTTCTTTTTTCTAGCCAGCTGGATTTTCAGAGACATATCTGGCCTTGAAGTGTTGGTTTGCTGCCTCCCTGCTTCTACTTTTGTGATAATGATGCTGCTAAAGCTGTTCCATGCCTATTGGCCGAATACCCCAAGGTTGTAAGTAACCCTATAAAACCTCATGCACACATCTTGGAGGTGCTCAGAGCTTCAGAGCAGAAGCCCCTCTGAGCCCTCTGGCATAATAAATCTGAGTACTCCAATCCTCCGAGTGGTGCTTGTTTCTTGGCTGGCCTGTCATTTCCATAACATTATAAGCCCCAACAGGAGCTAGGAGAGACCTAGGCTTGCAAGGCAATGGAAGACCTCAGGTACCTGTGTAAAAAAAACAAATAATATCATGTAGTGGTGATTACCACATTTCACAATTGCTTGAATATATCCAATTAAAGCTCCTAAAACATTTTGGTATGCCAAAAAAATAATAATAATAATTAAATAAATAAAAATTTCATGTACAATCAGGAATTTAAGTTTTTAACAATTTCTAAAAGGTCTTTGTTGCCCTAGCTAACTTTGAGATGCTTTAAAGGAGCCCTGAGGCATCTTAGATATTATATTAATTAAAATTATGTGGTATGTTAAGTCAAATGTAATCAATCATGATTTTAATTATTATAAAGAAATTTCTATCAATTGCAGGTACTTAACAATGTCTTTTAAGGCTTTTGTCATTATAGAGAGTTAAACTGCTGTTACAAAGGTACACCATCTTCAAGAAGATTCATAAGAAGGTTATGAAAGCAGTTACAACAGTTCCACATCAGGATTCCAGCTCATACCACACTCAGATGCAAAAACAAAAGGTTGTCCTGTCCCTGGGGCCCCAAGATTAGGCATTCAGAGATTTTTAACTCTCTGATAGGCAGGGTCAATGCCCCTACTCAGCCTGGAAGTAGTTTCAGAAGACGGACCATCACCCCTCTGCAAACCCGTAAGATTATGGGAGTAAAATCTGAGACAGGAGGGAAGGGGGCAGGGCACAGCCACTCAAGGAATGACAGCAATTTAACACCAAAATGGGGGAAGATTCACCAAAATGGTGGAAGATTCAACTCCTAGTTGGCCTTGAGGATTAAGAGGTTTGATTTCTAGTAGACCTTGAGCTTCATTATATGCTCAGTATAACAGAGGGATAAATAACACGCTCACAGGCGCCATGACAGTCCCAAGGCAGACCGCAATGGGCCAAGAATGGGTGGTGGCCCAATTCCTGGGAATCCCAGCCCTTTCCACAGGGTAGTTAGAATGGTCCCACTTACAGGTTTGCGAAGCTACTGAGCCCATAAAAACTTGCAACACCATGCCTAGCGGCTTTTTATTGCTCCCTCCTCTTTGGAGATGGCTTGCACTCTGTCTATAGAATAACTACTTTTACTTTAACCTAAGCACCCAAGTCCCATACTTCTTTCCTTGTCTTTCTCTTGCCTTACATACCATGCAGTATCTCTCTAAATAAATCTACCTTTACTCAACTGTGACTTGCTCTTGAATTCTTTCCTGCATGAAGCCAAGGACCCACACTTGGCGGGGCACGTCCCAGGGGCTCAACCGGAGCCTGAGAGGTGGACCTTCTCACGCCCCACATCCGTTTTTCCTGCATTAGAACCGCGTCCTGTTCAACCTGGCGTCCCCACTCCCCCAACCATGGCGCCTAGCATGAGAAAGCACATCAGAGGTTCTGTAATTCTTTTGTAAGAGCCACTGATTACAGGGCTCAGAGCCCTGGACCAGCCAGAGGCGGGCACATTCCCTCAGGGAAGCTGTAGGAGGACACCAATCTGGAAAGCGCAGACAATGTGCAGGATGGGACTCGCCAGCCTAGAGGCAGGGCGCCGCCTACGTGCGGGGGAGCCAGCGGCGCTGGCCTCTGGGGGGTCCCCACCGCAGGCGGGCCAGGCAGCGAGGCCCTCTTTGTGCCAGCATCAGGTGCAAGTCCCCTGGGGCACCGGGCGTGGGCGTGCGCCCACGCTTCCGCGGCGCGCCGAACCCAGCCTCCGTACCCCCTGCAAAATCTCCAGGCTCCCCTGGGATCTCCTCGGGCTCCGGGGGCTCCATTGGCGGCGGGAGGAGTTCTGACACACAATTGGTCTCCTGACAGGGCTCAACTCCGCGTGGGCGGGCAGGCGGGGGAGCGGGGGACCGCCGCTCCAGCCCTCTGGCCTTCGAAAGATCTTCCTGGGCCAATGGCAGGCGGGGCGATGCGCCCGGATTGGTGCAGGCGCTCTGCTGATCACTGTGGAAACCCAGGCGGAGGGGAACGCGGGAGGATGCAAAGCCCTGGGCGGGGGGAGCCAGAGGGTCGGTTGGAGGAGGCTTCCATTCCCTGAGCTACCCGGGAGTTTTTAGTAGAGGCAAAAGTCCACTAGGGGCTGGTGGGCAGAGGGAGGGGCGGAGGGAGGGGTAGAGGGAGGGGACCGCTTAGGGGCACTGGGAGACCTGGGGGTAGGCAGGGATACTTCTGGGCGAAGGCGAGGAGGCTGGGGGAGGGGGCGCGGTGGGAGGAGGAGTAGAAGACAAAAGCCGAAAGCGAGGAGGGCCCTGGGCGCACTCTCTGCTGTGAACTGGACAACTAGTAGACAAGCAGCATGGGGAAGGGCGGGAACCAGGGCGAAGGGGCTACCGAGCGCGAGGCGCCGATGCCTACCTTCAGCTGGGAGGAGATTCAGAAGCACAACCTGCGAACGGACAGGTGGCTCGTCATCGACCGCAAAGTCTACAACATCACCAAATGGTCCAGACGGCATCCGGGGGGCTTTCGGGTCATCGGGCACTACGCAGGGGAAGATGCTACGGTAAGGATCTGGGGCCTCTTTCGCCCCCTTTCTTTGCTGCAGGAGGGAGTCAACAGGGCGCCAAACAAGACCTCCAGCGCTGAGTGGATTTGGGGCGTCCTGGAGGGATGGGAAGTGCCTACTGCGCTCCTCTCCCGCCTGGAATCCTCGTCCTCCAAGACAGCTGGGCCAACGGGCTGTGGGGGTCGGATTTTGGAGCCCGGGAGGAGAAGCGCGTAAGACCTACCGGATGCGCATTGGGACCGTGCGTCCGTTCCTTACTCAGGGTTCAGCCCAAGCCAGGAAATCCCCAAAGAGGGTGCTGGGACCTTAGGGCTTTGGCGCCCCCAGCGCGAAAGATGGCCGCCCCTGGTTTCCGCGAAAAGGCGCGAGAGAGGAGGCAGGTGTGGGACCCGGCGCGTGTCCCCCAGGCTCCAGCCAGACTAGAGAGCCGGGAAGGAAAGCTCGACCCAGCCTGGGTTCGCTCCTGCTTGAATTCCAGTCTCAGAAGATCCGCAATGGCTGCCTCGGAGACACCGCCTGGTCTCTCTTGTTCCCACGCTCTCAAAAGACTAGCAGTGCCCACCGCAAGGGTCGGCCTTCTTGGGGGACCTGGGTGGGAAATGGTGGAAAAGAAAAAGGGCTGGAGTTTGCAAAGCCCAGGTAGAGAGGGACCGTGAGACGCGACGATTTGGTAGCATTAGACTGGCTTGGCAGCAGGTCAAGCTGCACCCGAGGTAACTCTGGGACTTCAACTAAATGGCCCTCTGTTCCTAAATCCTGCCAGGAATGCTCTTACCTCCTTTTGGACTGTTAACGGTAGTAGGGCTCCGGGATGTTCCCGAAGCCAGGGCTGCCCATCTTCCCTTCACCTTTATGCTCCAAAGGTGCAGCTCTGTGTTTACACGACACCACCCCAACCCCCAATCCGAAATCTTGCATTTCCTTAAGGTGCAGCAGGATCTCTGTGGATTCAAATTAGCTAGCGGGAAAACAACAGAGGCAGGGAGGAAAGAAATGGGGCTCTCCTGATGGCAGAAAAGTCTGGTCGGATGGAGAGCTCCGCAAAGGCGAATAGGGAGGGATCAGCTTGACAAGGCTCATTCCACCTGGAGGTCTGGCATGCTCAACTGTTTGGCTTTTGCTCTCCAAGCTGTATGGGCCCCTGTCAGTTGGTGGAACTCTTGATCTTGCTACTTTGTCTTTCGCATTGGGACAGGCATACCCTAGGGGTGGGGGGCAAACCGGGCAGCTATAATCTAAGTGGTCCCTTGGCTCACCGCTTTGATGAAGCAGGTCACTGATAGGTAGTGCCTACAGCTTCTGGCCCCATCCTGTTTTACCTGCTTGCGAACATGGCTTGAGCCCTAAGGGCTGGTGATACTGATCATAACTTAGATGGGTATACGATTTTCAAGCATCCTCAGTGTATTAGCTCACTGAGACTTTTCCATAACTCTGTAAGGAGGTGGAGTAAGAACAATTACCCAGAAAAAGATTTGACCCCTGGTTGGGTCTTTCCGCTATTCCGTGTTGCTGGACTTGTGCTAGTCTGTTCACGATTTCATGGGTAAAATCTAAAGATTCCTGCCCTGGCTGGGCCTTCACCAAAAAGTCAAATCCAATTGGATTAGTCTGATTATTTCGTAGTGTTAAATAAATATATTTTGTTATGTGGCAAGACATTTTATAAACTGTAAGAACTAGATAAATGCGACAGAGTGTTATCAGACAGGTGAGCCTCGGGGTGAGGATTATTAGCTAGAATGTAACTTAAGCAAAGAGGGGTTTGGAGGAAATTTCAAAAACTCTACGCCAGCTCTATTTCGTGTAGTAAGACGTAAAGACAATCTCTATGCTCAAAGCTTGCTGCCTTCCAAGATACTTTGTTTTTTTTGAGTGAAGGTAGAGTTATTCAGAGAGATACATTGAAAGGCAAGAGAAAGGCCACAAGGTATGGGGATTGGGCACTCAGATTAAAAGTAGGTACACACTCCATAGACAGAGTGTGGGACTTCTCCGAAGAGGGAGAGAGAGGGGCGGCCCAAGATAAAACTTTCTGAGCATGAAATGTACTAACTGGGGATATAATTGGATAATGGTGGACAACTGGATTTTTTCTCCCTCTCTCTTTACTATCTGGGACCAGGTAGGGAAAAGGCCACAGGAAGTCTGGGGTCTATGGGCAGGGGACTTGAGAGAGGCAGGAACAGGCTAGGAATTGAGAGGCTCTTTGACTCATTTTCCAGCTGTTGAGCAGGTGGCTTTACCCTTGGGGCAGGGACTTCAACCTCAGAGCCTGGGTTGAAGGAGAGTATTTATGGATCATGTGAAGTTTGGGAAGGACTGATCAGGAGAGAGAGGTCTGATACCCAGGAGCATTCAAATGCACTGTTAAGAGCCAGTTGCAATGAAGTAATATCCTCTCAAGAGATTGGCAACCAAGGAAGCCAGATAATCTGGGGCCTCAGTGGGGGATTTTCCTGTTACTAAAGAAAAGACCTCAGAAGTCAGGACAGCCTAGTGAAGTGCTGTTGTCATCTGGTCTTTCTAGAGAGGTTAGAACTTGGCCTTGCCTGCAAGAATAAAAAATAAAACTAAATTTTTACAACTCTCAAAGCACGTTTGTAAGTATCAAATCATTTAGTGCTCAGATCAGCCCTGTAGGTGGTAGCCCTCATTGCTCTTGGATTTAAAAACCTTGGCCTATTGGCAGCCCTTGGACCTAGACTCAGGATCTGCCATCACAGAGACCTCCCAGCCCACTTTCCCTTCCTTCCTCCCCCAACCCCCTTCCTTCCTTCCTATTTCCACCCCGGGTCTCTTCCCCTCTTGCCCTCTGGCACATCTCTGGTCTTTGCCTTGCTGTGGGCAGAAGGAGCCCTCACCTGTGTCCAGGGATGTCTCTCATCTTTTAGAGTTCCACCGCTGCAGAACTCTTAATCTTTTACAAAGATTCATGGCACGTTTCTTCCAGTGTCTCTACGGCTCTGAGCTGGCCCTGGGCACAGAGATGAATACTTCACAGACAGTCAGCATATCTGCTGGGTTTGCTTCTCTCCTTTCAGACTGAGACTGGAATCTGGACCCTCTGCCTCTAGACACCAGCTCCTCCACCCGTTGCCTCGGCAACTTTTCCTGCCCTGTCTGCATCAGTTGCCTCTTAGAACCCAGGGGAGGCAAGAAGAGGTCAGGATTCATTCCATATTTTAACCTGCTCCTCTGCTGTTCCTGAGAAAAGGCAACAGGTTGAAAATGGAACAAATCTCCAGCCTCCTTAGGGCAGGAAGACCATGGTATTTGGAGGCAGAGGACCTGATTTTGAGTCCCAGTTTTAGGAATTCTAGGCAGGACATTTAGCCTGAACTTCACTTTCCAGGTCTATGAAATGGGAAGGTTATTATTAGGGTCAACTAGGCTGTGAGTGAGATCATTCTTTAAATTTCAGAACATTCTACAGGTGTGAGGGATCATTGCCATGGGTCCCTTTGCTTCCTGTGCACAAGGGTGCATATTCAGCATGCAGAGGAGGGAGTTCCGTAAGCAGCAAAAGAGCAAGCCCTTGAAACAGGAACCTTGGTGACCTCATTTATGCCAAAGGTAAAAGGCATTGATTGTACATGACATCCCTTCTGTGGTTTTGCCTGGAAGCAGCTCTACCCCCTCAGCTAGGAGCAGTCCAGTTCCTGCTGTCTGCAGCCTCAGGAAGGATCCAGTACCCAGCCCCAGCATCCCTGGTATCTTTGGTGAGATGTGTTTCCTGTTGTAATACCTTCATGCCCGGGTTGCCTGTCCTTGGCATCTGCAAGGACGCTCTCGTCAAGGTCCCTTTGGCCACAGCACCACTCCACCAGCCTCCATCTCTTCTTTCCCTTGCAGAGGACAAGGCACTCTCCCGCCCTGCCTGCATCTCTCTGCAGTGGAAAGGAAGTCAGCGTCCCTGTTTCCAGCTGAGAACTCAGGGTCCCTCCTCTGCCTCTCCTTCTCTAACCTCTTGCTCCAGAGTCCTGGTTCCCAGAGCTGCTACCTGCAGCCTTGTATGACCTGAGCTTGCTCCTCCTGTACTTCCCCAATCCGTGGCCAAGTACCAGGATGTACTGGAAGCTGGATTAAGGATTAGCCTTGCTCTGCAGAGAAGGTGGATGTAGCCAGAAACAAGAGTTAGCTCTTGCTGCCCGGTGCAGGAGGAGTTGCTGTGAGTTCCACCCAGGGTGGGGCCAGGCAGGGAGATTTCTTCCTGCAGAAGTCGGCTGGCATGGGAGCTGGGTGATCCTGCAGGAGCAGGAACACGTGAAGATCTTTCATTTGGGATTCTTCAAGTGTCCTCAGCCCGACCTCCCCACCCCCAAACACACATGCCTACCTCCTTGAGGGTGGTTCTGCTCCGCTCCCAACCGTTGGTCACTCCCTCCCCTTCACCTGCATCCCCAACCTTCTTTCTGGAAAGTGTTTGGCTTCAACCTCTCAGTCAGATGAGGATAGAGCCTGGTTCCAGTTCTTGTTCAAAAGTCAGTTTGGGTTGACCCTGTCTTGCCTTGCCCCTTGGTCTACCTTGCACCAGCCAGACACTTTTGTAACTAAGCAGCTGTTGGGAACCTTCTGCAAGGTTGTCAGGCACATCTGTGGCACTTTGAAGGGGGAGACCCAAAAGATGATCAGCTCTCAGGAGGCGGAAGTTCATTTTGATTGAGGCCTTTGTACTAACAGCAGAGTTAGGCATACCTGGAGTGTGACCATGGATGAATAACTTCGCCTCCGTCAGCCTCTCTTCTCATCTCTAAAATGAGACCCGCCTCACAGAGTTTGGTGATTAGTGAAAGATTAGTGGCTTATGTACACAAAACCCAGAGGTCAGAGGCTGACCTGTGTAATCTCAGCACGTGGCAGCTCCGCCACCACTGATATGTGGATGCTGGTGGAGGTGAAGATGTCCCAGAGGCCGAAGCAGAAGCCAGGTTGTGCAAAATGGCCAAAGGGTCTGAACATGCTTGCACAGTAGGAAAGGTCCCTGGGCTTAGAGAGTGCACAGCTGTCGAGTCCTGGGAGCCCCAGTTGTGCAGTGCTGTAGCCACTGGGGTTATTGCAGCAGACGAGACAGGCTTGGCCCTGTCATGGAGCTTATATTCAATAAAGAATGAATCAGGATGACAAAGAAGTGAGGCATAATACAGCTTGTAATTTTGAAGCTGTTATGAAGAAGATAAAGCCAGGCAATGTCCCAGAAAGTGTGAGGCTGGGAGATGGCCCATTCAGGTAGGGTGGTGGGTTGCGAGCCCGCCAAGGGATCCTGCTGGAGCAGGGCTCCCGGCAGAAGGAAGAGCCGCAGGCCCTGGAGTGGGAATGAGCTCGGTGGATTCAAGCAAGGGTGGTTTCCACCAGGCTGCTCGGAAAGCTGCCAGATCTACTACAGACAATGAGGCAATTCAGAAGCATCTGGCTTTTTAGACCTGTGTGTGGTTGTGTGGCATGAGGGGACACAGACCCTGGGTCAGGTGAACCTGGATTTGACCCTGGCTCTGCCACTTGACCGTCACCTCCCCGCACTCTGGTACCTTCATCTGTCAAATGGGGCTTTGAGGATTCTGGGAGGTAATAGAAGAACCTTCCTGGCTCCCTGCCTGGCGTGTGGAATTGAGGCCACCTGAGAGCTGTCTGGAAATGGCCCAGGCAAGGCCTCAGTCAGGACAAGAATCTGCCTGGCTCTAGCAGGTTCCTCAGCCCAGGCAGGGACTTGGAGGTGTGACCTGGATGTGGTAGGGGCAGCGGGATCTGGATGAGCGATGGGCACACTTGCAGACTGCCCCCCGGTGCAGAGTGGGGAGTTTCATTATCAGAAACAGCTATTCCTCAGGAAACTACCTTACCAGGGACTTGCAGTTGGTTTCTCAAAAGCCATGATCTAATGTAAGGACCAACGAAAGGACCTTTTTAGGCTCTGACTTTGGAAGGCAGCTGTGCTCGCCACCATACACCAATGCCTGGGCCCTGATTCTGGCTCCTGACGGGGCCTTTCCCAGGGCCTTCGAGCACTGGAGCTAGGAGGGTCCTCATGTGCAGAGGAGACAGGCTGGAGTGGGGCTGCTGGCCCAGAGTGGACTCCAGGCTCTTCACTGCCCACTCAGGGCCTCCATAATAGCAGCCCATCTCTCCTCTGAAGATACCCTTGCTCTGATCCTCTGCTACCATCCCTTTCTGTTCAGCTCTTGGGGAGTAGGGGGAGTGGGGTGCAGACATTTTTTTTTAAGACTCTGGGCCCAGTTTTCCTCTGCACAAAGTGTTGCTTTGTAAGTCTGTTCTAGACACAAATAGAATAAAGATCAGGCAAAAGGACTTCATGCCAGGGATGAAGTAAGGAAACGGGAGAAGACTGGCAAGTACTCTTGTGAGATACTTCGCTAGGGGCTGAGTTGTCAGCATCTTCTCCATTCCTTCTTCAATTTTTTCAAGTTTTGAAAATTTCCAAACATACAGAAATGTTGAGAGGATAAGTGAACACCTGTATATCCACAACCAAGATTTACGAATCTCAGCAGTTGGCCACATTCACATTTCCTCTTTCTGCACATATGCAGTCTTTTGCCAAATCATGGAAATAAATTGCATCATTATGCCACTTCTTTCCTAAATTCTTCACCATCTTCTCCTAAAAATAAAGACGTTCTCCAACATAATCATAATACCTTAGTTCCACTTGAGAAGATTTAGAGATTCTTTAATATGACCAGATATGCAGGCCCTATTCAAATTTTCTCATTCAGCCCTGCAAATGTCTTGGATAACTGCTGGTTTTTTGTTGTTTTTTTTTGTCCTTCCAAATGAGAGCCTTTCAAATCAAGCATTGCAGTTTTTAATAACTTTTTTTTCTGTCTCTTTAATCCTCCTCCCCGCCTTCCCCCATCCCCAGCACAGACACACACCCTCACTTTTCCCCACTATTTTGATTTTTCTAATTGTTTCTCATGGTGTAGTTCGCCTTGTTACTCTCTCCTAGCAAAGTCTCAGAGCTTCAAAAAAAATTTTTTTTTAATTGAAATATAGTTGATGTACCTTGAAACTGGTTTGATGCAAGGTAAACATTGTTCATCACTGGGACATCACACTGTGTTCCATCAGGGGGACCTAGTGTCACCTCATCTCTAATGGAGCTGCTGTATTTGTTTTATATTATGTATAACGTATAGAAAAAAGACTGGGAACAACGGTGGTATTCATTTTCCTCTTTACTGTGTACATGTTCTAAATTTGCCGAATGCACATTATTTATAATCCGAATAAAAAGATTAAAAAGCCCAACGTTTAAAAAAAAGCAATACTGCAATGTCAGAGAACGTGTGGAAAGTAATGAAGATAAAGCAAGGCATAGCGCCACCACCTTAACGCATAATAGTTTAAATTACTTTCACGATTTTTGTAATTATTTGCATACCTTTTTAAATTGTGGAAAAAATGTTTTCCCCCTGAAATGCTTTTTACCTCATTCTGCATCTGCTTTTGATTTAACATGATCTAGGTGCATTGTTCTTGTTCTTTTTGTTGACAGCAGTGTGCGGGGGCAGCGGGTGGTGAAGTTCGCAGGGAACCAGGCAGCCTGCAGAAGACTGTGGCTCCTGGCCTCTGTGGTGCCCGTCCTTGGAGGGGCGCATTTTTCTGACTTGCCGCAGGACTATGCGGTGTTTATACCTAATCTTTGTCAAGCTCCAGGGTCTCTTGTCAGGGCGGAGCCCCAGATGGCACCTCCAATTGGAGCTGGGCACAGAGGGACACTGCCACCTGCTGGGATGAGGCTGAGAGAGCATTTGGGGCTGGATCATGGGAGGCTCTGTTTTGTTCAGTGTCCTGGTGTCTGAGTGGGACAGAGTTTCTGCTGGTGAGCCCTGCCCTCCCTGGGGCAGAGGCGCTGGCGGTGGTCGGGATCTGCTACTCACCACCTGCCCCCCTGCTCCCCAGGATGTCTTCTTCGCCTTCCACCGCAACCTTGATTTCGTGCGCAAGTTCATGAAGCCCTTGCTGATTGGTGAGCTGGCTTCTTCGCCTTCCACCGCAACCTTGATTTCGTGCGCAAGTTCATGAAGCCCTTGCTGATTGGTGAGCTGGCCCCAGAGGAGCCCAGCCAGGACCACAGCAAGAATGTGAGTCGTGAGTCGGAGGGATAAAGGAAGGGAGGGTTTGCTGGCGTAGGGGGTCAGGTCCCCACTCAGACACGGAGAGTGCAGGGTGTGGGGCAAAGGAGCCTTTATGCCAGATCAAGGGGAGCCACTGCCCATCTCCTAGGGTCAGGGAGGACTTGGAGCCTCTGCGGGCCCTGTGGGCCACCCCTTCTGCTGGCCCCCACCTTGGAGTAACTCATTTCCAACCTCTCCACCTCTGGGGCCTCAGTGGAGCCAGGCTGGGCACAGGGTCTTTCCCTCTTTTCTGGTTCCCCGCTGTTGTATTTGGCTTCCCCCTCCCTGGAGCTGACCCGGGATTCCATCCTAACTGTATTTTCCATCCCTTCCAGGCAGGCAGCTCCTCTCCCCTCCTGCAGGCTTCCCTTCCTGATCTTGCTCCCCACATTTCACTTGGGCTTATAGCCCTCTTCAGATCCTCCACCACTTAGCACCTAGGCTCCCAGGTCTGGCTTCCTCCACGTATGCCTGTCTGCCCTTCAGAGGACCCTGGGCATATCCCAGTGGATGGCTTGAGCCCCCTGACCTCCACTTTCTTCCCCCTCCTGCCCTGCCCTGCCTCCCAGGTTCTTTCTTTCTCCAAGTGATGCCCTTAGTTCCCCAGAGCCACCCTCGACTCTGCCTCTGACACCTGGCACCACATGCCCAGTACCCGCTCAGTGCCCCCTGCCTGTGGTGTCCAGAGCAAGGAATGTGTGTCAGATAGTGGGAAATAGACCCCTTTGAAAAAAATGTGGTAAAACAGACATAATGTAAATTTTATCGTTTTAACCATTTTTAAGTGCACAGTTTTCAGTGGCATTGAGTACATTCGCATTGTTTTGCGACCATCACCACTATCCACCTCCAGAACTTTTTTACCACTCCAAACTGAGATTCTGTCCCCATTGAAGACTAACTCCCCAGCCCCTGGTAAACACTATTCTACTTTTCGTTGGTGAATTTGTCTAGTCTAGTTACCTCATATAAGGGGACTCATAAGTGTTTGTCTTTTTGTGTCTGGCTTAATTTCACTTAGCTTAATGTCTTCAGGGCTTGTTCATTAATAGCATGTGTCAGAATTTTCTCTTTTTTTTTTTAGAATTTTCTTCCTTTTTTAAAAAAATATTTTTTATTTCAGGTTTTTTTAGGGGGGAGGTAACTGGGTTTTCATTTATTTATTTATAATGGAGGTCCTGGGAATTGAACCCAGGACCTCGTGCATGTTAAGCACACTACCACTGAGCTATACACTCCCCTCCTAGAGTTTGCTTCCTTTTTAAGGCTGAATAGTATTCCATTGCATGTATAGACCACAGTTTGTTTAGGCATTCATCCATCAATGGATATTCGGGTTGTTTTCACCTTTTGCCTCCTACAAATAATGCTGCTGTGACTATGGGTGTGCAAAATGCAAGCTTTTATAATTTGAGTTAAATCCTTTCTCTGCATCTTAACTGGCTGTGGACAAATGAACAGTCCCAGAGCTGTGCCAGGCCCCAGCAGACATATGGTAGCGGCCGCTGTTGTGGTCATGCATGGCGGCCAGGCTCCTGCGGGACTTGGGCTTGGTCCTCTCCCAAGTGGCTGGGTGGCTGAGTCCTTCCCTGTGTTCTTGCTTCACAGTCACAGATCACTGAGGACTTTCGGGCCCTGAGGAAGACCGCTGAGCAGATGAACCTGTTCAAGGCCAACCACCTGTTCTTCCTCCTCCTCCTGGCCCACATCTTCGTCATGGAGACCATTGCGTGGTTCACCGTCTTCTACTTTGGCAATGGCTGGATTCCAACCATCATTGCGGCCTTTATTCTTACTGCCTCTCAGGTGAGGTGTGACACCATCACCTGTCACTTGAAGCCCCTGCCTCCTCCCCCCACCCCCGACTCCCCCAACTCCCAGAGGCCTGGTGTCTGGGTGCTGATGCTGTGAAAGCATCCGTGGCCCTCTCTCCCCAGGCCCAAGCTGGATGGCTGCAACACGATTTTGGCCACCTCTCTGTTTACAAGAAGTCCACGTGGAACCACATCGTCCACAAGTTCACCATTGGCCACTTAAAGGTAACTGTCAGCCACCCTGGGCGTCTATCCTGTCAGTTAGCGTTTGATGCAGCACTATCTCACTTTACTCTGAAACCAGGACCTACCAATCCCCCGCTTCTCTGACCTTCCAAGCCTTGTCACATTAGACACACAGAACCAGTGTACTAATTATAAAAACAGGCACACGCTTCTCCGTTGATGATATTTGTTTCTTACCTAAGCAAGGACTTACTAATAATCTCCTTTCAGTTTGAGGCCAGTACAGAAGCCGTCTCTCTTGATGAATTGGTATACTTTCCTTCACAGGGTAGTGTTTGCTGTTTAATACATTGTGTTCCTCTTCTTTTCTATTTTTTCCCTCCTTGGGTGCCAGGAAACGCAAAGCAAAATGTGGAAGAGCACTGTCCCTAATCTACATCTTCCCGTTATCCATATCCTCCCCTCCCAGTCTGTGTCACTGACGCTTTTATCTTTATTATAACCGTTCTGTTATATATGAATCCTTTATCAGAAGCCATCTCAAATTCACTTTGGAAGTACATGGGGCTGGAGAGGAAATATTGCCATCATATAAGTCTTTAGATAAGGGACATCAAACAATGTAATGATCAACTCAGCCAAAAGACAAGAGCTGTTTAAAACTCAGAAGATAAGGAGGCAGACCTGCAAAAGTGTTAATAGGTTGGCAAGTTTGTAAAAAAGAAAAAAAAAGACTAGCTGGACTTGCCAGTGACCGTGGGCTGATCTGATGGACTTTTTCCCCTTGGTTTTGGACATAAGTTCTTGCCAACTCTCTTTTTGAAGTGTATTACCCTCCACCCCAGACCTACCCCAACAGCATCCAGCTGCTTCCTAAGAAAGGCGTTGTCCTGGAGACTTCCATTTCTCTCCACCCTGGCTTGGGAAGAGCTGCATGTCTGGGTTAAGCTTATCCCCCTGTGACCTAGGATGCCTCTAGCCTTTGGGTTGCTGGCTCTGGATCAGGTTGGGGGTGAACCACCATTGAACTAGTAACCATTTCCACAGGGAGCAGTTTGCCTGGCCCTGAGCCTGGAGCTGCCTGAGAACCTGGTTTCTTTCCAGAATTTCAGGGGTGAAGGGAGAAGATGCACATAGTAGAACGCTTTGTTTCATTTTATATTCTTTTCTGTCGGAGAAAACCCTCTTCAGAATTGGAAAGTAACATTTCAGTCCCGACCTGCTTTATCCCCACACATTTAACAAAGATGAACTGTGTCCTGTTTGCAGATTCTGGGCAGGAGCCGGGAGGGCCTCTCCTGTGTGATGGCTCTCAGTCCTCGAGGGGCCCTGGAACAGAGCTCTTGTGTCAGACAAAAGATGACAAGGACAGAGGACTGGCCCCCCTGTTGAATGTTGGCTTGTGAAATCGGAGCTCTGGGTGACAGGGAGATGAGAGGAAGTCAGGGACATGGGCTCTGCCCAGGGCTTGCCAGCCGCCTGCTGGCTGTGTCCTTCGTAGTGCGTGGCGGAGCAGTTCAGCCAGGGTGCCCCAGAGCCAGAAGGGTCACAGCTTTCCTGAAGTCCTGCTGGCATCCCGTGGCCACACAGCTGCAGACAAGTCTTGTAGGTGCAGCCGTTCTCGGGTCCCTTTGCTGGGGCAGGAAGGAGCTGGCTGCGAGGGGCTCCTAGGGGTGCTCTAGTACAGCTGTGAGGGCAGCGAACAGGGTGCCGGGAGCCCTGAAGGGCTGGGACCCGCTTCTTACTGCCGGCCTGCCCTGCCGTAGGAGTCCACATGTGAGCGCCCCACTCCCGACCTCCTCTTTTCCTTCAGCCCGCGTCACTTCTGGCGGACAATCCTACTGAAGGGTGATCTTCTACAGAGACAGTTCTGAGAGGTCGAACCTCTGCTTTAAACTCTAACTTGTTAGGCATTGCACGTGCCATCTAGACCCTGCACATGGAGATGGAATCTTTGGAACCCACAGCCTTTTTGCAGCTTTGTCCTGGGCCAGGACTAGGGTGAGGCAAGTGAGGCACTTCGCAGGGCCTCAAATTTTAAGGGGACACCAGAAAGAGTCAGTAATGGACATAAATAACTTTCTAATGCAAATATTTTTTTTAAAAAGGCAAAATTAATGTAAAAAAAGAAATCCACAATGAACAAAATACCAGCAGTTAAAATGAAGATCAGGGCTGTGTTGAACCGTATTGGAATATGAAGCAAAAAGAAAACTTTTACCTTATATATATGTTTGTATATGTTTTTTTTTTAATGGATGATTTTTTTCCCAGAGCATTAAAGTAGTTGAAAACTATTTAAAAACTAAAAGCCCCAACATGAAGTTTAAGTGTATCATTTATAAAAAGCAATTTATTATTATTTTACTTCAGTTTAAATTCATTAAAAATTATTTAAGACTGACCCTTGGTTGAGAGAAATGAAACTTGGCAGTTGTCTCAGTGGAAAACAAGGTGAGCCAAAGGGTAGATTTTGAAAATATTGTTGATGAGTTTGCTTTTGGCTCTGCTATGGCTCTGCCCAGCACTGCTGGCCCAAGAGGGCCTTCTTTTGGCTTCTGGAACAGTCTACACTCCCCTTTCCCCAAGGCTTTCACCTAGGCTCTTCCTGCTGTCAGAAAAGACACCTTCGCTGTGCCCAGCTCCCCCCTGCCCATCCTGCAGCCCAAGGACAGTTCACCTAAGTGGCCTCCTGAAACTTCTCCAGCTCCGCTGGTGCATCTCACTGTGGTGTGATGCCCCCATCCCAGTGTGGAGCAATGCCCACACTATTGTGATGCCCCATATTATCAGGTGTGGTGCCCCCATATTGGGGGTGATGCCCCCATATCAGGGGTGATGCCTCATCACAGGGTAAGGTAATACCCTACTATCCCTCACTAGACAAGGGCTTGCCTTCTTGCCCACTTCATCCCCAGGGCAGGCAGGGCAGCATCAGCACCACATTCCGAGAGCACAGCGCTGGGTCATTCCAGGGTAGACAGGACTTCCCAGTGCCCAGGAGGCAGGGTTCATGGAGGATATGTAGGGTTTGCCGAGTGAAGAGCAGTGGAAGAGAACTGCAGCAGAGAACAGTGCCATCCAAAGATGTTTCATCATTACACCCGATGCCAAGTTCAGGGACGGCCCCTCCTCGCCGGCTCTCATCCCCAAGGGGCTCACAGCCTGTCCTTCCTCTGTTTGTTCATTCCCACACTTCTCTTGGTTGGTGTAGTCTAAACCTCCTTACTCATAACTGCCTTGCCCCTTAATTTCTCTGTGCCAGAGACTCCATTGCACTCTTGCCAGGAATGCAGCCTCTTGGCTGGAGAGGTAAATGTGCCATCTGATTTCTCAATCCTCTCAGCTCCCATTGGCCGACGTTCTTTTGTTCTGCTGGGTTTCGAGCCCTCCTGCTTCCTGGGGCCTGAGGTCACCGCGAAGGCCGCAGCCTCTCAGAGCTGTTCCCGCCTGTGGCACTGAGTGAATAGAGACTGGGTTTGTGCCAAAACATCTTCCAAGTACAGTGTTTGTTTTTGCAGTTAGGCCTTTTTGTACCTCTCCCGACACTTGGCCAAAGTGTTGATTGATCCAGCAGCAGTGCCCCAGTGAAGTCCTCATGCCGGAGAGTCAGGAGAGTCTTGTCTGCATCACTGCGTGACTTTGCGGAGAGACTTGCCCTTAAAATGTTTCCAGAGCTGGAACGAGTGAGACAGAAATTCATGGCCTTGAAAGACATACTCATGTAATGGTTCTTGTCTCCGAGAAGCATCATTTTGCATTTACCTGTTAGAACCAGGAAGCTCTTGCCTGTCTCTGTTAGTGACTGCTTATGGAGCCCTCCCTGTGGCCTTCTGTGTGTGATGTGACTCACCTGTCAGCCCTGAGAGCAGTGGCGTGCCTAGCTGTTGGGCTGTCCCTTGCCTCTCAGTGGGCCCTTTGGGAGCAAGGACCATTTGTGGTCTTCTTTGGTGTGTGTGTGTTTTTTTTTATTTTCCTATTTTTTATTTTGTTTTTATTATCTTAATGGAGGGACTGGGGATTGAACCCAGGACTTGAGCATGCTAAGCATGTGCTCTACCACTGAGCTATACCCACTCCCCCTCCTTTTTGTTTTTTTGAAAAAAGCTTTCTTGGTATAATTCACATACTATGCGATTTGCCCGTTTAAAGTATACAAAGCAACGGCTTGTGGTGTATTTGTGCAACCACCATCACAATCAAGTTTGGAACATCTTCATCACCCCAAAAAGAAACCGACACCTCTTGGCCATCACCTCCCAACCCCCTCATCCCAACCTAAGCACTAGGCAGCCACTCATCCTTCTGTCTCCATGGATTTCCCTATTTTGGACACTTTGTATAAATGGAACCATAGAACACCTGGTCCTTTGGGCTGGCTTCATTCACTTTGCATTGATTTCCAGGTTCTCATGTTGTAGCACCTCGTACTTTCTTATGGCCAGGCCAAAGTTTTCCATTGTATGGGTCTGTCATGTTGTATTTATCCATCCATCAGTTGATGGACATTTGGGTTGTTTCCACTGTTTGGTTATTTTGAATAATGCTCTTGGGAACGTGTGCACACAAGTTTTTGTGTGGCCGTGTTTTCATTTCTCTTGGGCACACGCCTAGGAGTGGAATGCTGGGTCGTACGGTAGGCACCATTTCTCAATGTTCCTGAAACAGAGAGAAATGTTCTTCCTTGTACAACACGTGCACACAGGAGATGAACAGAGGATAAATGGTGTGGAGGCTCAGTCTGGGGTTGACAGAGAGCTGAGACTCCCCAACAGCTGCTAAAGCCCTCACCATGCTGTCCATCGTCAACACCATCTTATGATTGAAGGAACAGGCCTGGGGGGATGGAGTGACCTGGCTCCGTTCAGAAGTCCTGGTCCAGGGGCTAGTCAACTCTGGACTCAGTAATGGTAGCAACACTTCCTAGCACCTCCAGCATTCAGGGCCCGAGGCGTGTGTCACGGAGAGTCGGCCCTGAATGTTGAAGGTGCTAGGAAGTGGTCCCCTCAAGGACTGCACTGCTCACCCCCATTCCTCTCCCAACAGGGTGCCTCTGCCAACTGGTGGAACCATCGCCACTTCCAGCATCATGCCAAGCCCAACATCTTCCAGAAGGATCCAGATGTGAACATGTTGCATTTGTTTGTCCTGGGAGAACGGCAGCCCGTTGAGGTACAATGAAGTGGACGGAGGGAGGGCGTGGACATGGGAATTGTTTGGCCTGAGCAGGGATCAGCAAAGGCTTCTGGTAGGGAGGAGAGTCGTCAGACAGACACATCTTTGCCTAATGTTTACATGGAAACCTTTCCTGGATGCCCTGAATTATTCAAACTGGAATTTCTGTGGAATGGCCTCCTGTGTAAATAATAGATGTCACGCCTTATCAGAGTGTTAGGTGCCTCCCTGCCTCCCGTGGGCTGATGAAGAGCATCTCCTGTCTGTTCTTTCCAGTTTAGCGGGAAGGCACAATTCCAGGGCTCAAGCTTGGTCCCCAAACACTAGCTCAAGAAAATCTTACTTGGAGAGTCAGAGTCCCAGAGGCTGGGAGAGACCTTGACAGGGTCTGGTCCCACCTGTTTCACCATAGAGGCAAAGTGAGGCTCAGCGGGAGGAGGGCACGGGTTTAGGGTCACATGGTGACGACTCGGATGAGTCCCCAGATCTGACAGCTAGGCCATTCCTTCCACTCTGTCACACTGTCCTGTTTTTGTATTAGTTTATTTTTATTAAAAATATAGAACATACCTGTTACAAGCACTTAAATAATACAGAAATAGACAAAACTAAGACATGAATCTCCTATGATCTCTGCCATCTTCCTTCTGCCTCTGGTGTCACACCCCCAAGGGTGACCCCTGTTGACAACATACTATAAATCCTACATGTTTCCTGTGTGTGTATAAACATGCACATATCTTTTTTAACAATAAAAACTTAAACATAGGCATTTTTTTTTGCAACTTGTGGCCTCACCAAATGTGGACTTCTTTCCGGGAGTCCAAGTGCATCGGCCTCTACCTGGTGCTGTCCAGTGCTCTGTTGTATTTTCTATACCGAAACATAACCCACGCTATTTTGTAAGACAGGAAAATTTGGTGTTGCTAATTCTTTTAATAAAGTCACCCCCAGTGCTCTTAAAGAATTTAAATAGTGTCCTCGTTTAACGTTCTTTAAAAAGTAGAGCCTCTATGTAAAAAAAAAAACTATATATTTTTTTTACTTTTCAGAAATACATTGATGATGTAAACCAAAGTTTAGAAGATCCTTGCTGCTTTTATGTAGATCTTAAGTGTGACCTTGTAGGGAGTCTCAGCATTTGTCAGGAGAGGCACCTTTGCCCTCGGTAAGGAGCAGTGTCTTGAATCGGCCATATTCCCAGCGGTGTTGGCATCCAAGGCTTGGAACACGGGGAGGAGAGAGTCTGTTCCTTCAATTAGCAACCCCTCTCCCGTTTCACATCCACCCGACAGAATATCTGAACAGAAACATGGGTTTTCTGTGACATGGTCAATTCTGAGGGAATTAGCCACTTCGGAAGCATGGAGCCTCCAGCTGGGCAGGGGTTGTATTCTCTGCCAAAATCTGTGCTTGCATTTTCTTTCTAGGAGATAGTTTGCTGGCTTTGATTTGAGGTGGCTAGGTAGTAGAGCTGATTAACTTGGGTCCACCTGATAAGAAGACAGAGGCTTCCCTTTCTGGGTGAGCCTTCATGTTGTAGATCTGTTGACTGGCCTGACAAATGTTCTCTGTGTCTCTAACAACAAAATCTAGTCTCACCAGCTCTGCTGGCGAGAAGGTGCCTTTCCTTTCTGCGTGGTAGCCAGTGCAGTCTCTTCCAACATCCCCTTCTCGAATGCCGGCTTCTGGGCAGAGGGTGCAGTGGGAAGTTTTGGGGATCCGGTCATCCAGTAGTAGCCAGTGGCATTTGAAAGACCACAGCCAGGGCCACAGTGCTCCGTGAAATCCCCTCTCTCCCACACTGGTGGGGGAAAGGCCAGCCATTTCTCGGTTCCTCGTGGGGCCACACCCCAGTGTCCACCAGACCATGCTGTCTGAAAGAGACCTTTCTTTTATGCTTAGAAAGTTCTTCCTTCACACATCGTTTCAATGTTTCTGGTTTCACTTTTGAATGTTTCACTATTGCCGAATGGGGTTTGACTAAGTTGTCCTAGCCTCACTTTTCTCAGAAGTCAGCCAGTTTCCCTGGAACCCCCTCCTGGGTCACATCGCCTCTTCCGCATGGGCGGCTGTTCTTCCCTGAACCCCGGCGCCTAGTCTGGGCTGAGTGTCCCCGTGAGGAACGCTGCCTGGGTAACGCGGGCGTCATGCCGATCTATCCGTGGCCCCCGCTAGCTCACTGTAAGCTTCTCATGGGCTGACTTACCCCTCCCAGAAACGATTTATGTCTGTAGATTCAGCTTTCCATCCAGGAATATGGCATCTTTCTCCATTAATCTCTGGGAAAGGCTTTATCCTTTTCTTTGTGTGTCTCATGGGTGTCTCTTTCAGTTGAATTCTAGATAATTTGTTTCTTTGTCATCATGATAGCGGTTTCTCCAGTTTTCAGGAAAACTTGATATTTGCCTAGTTATGTCCAGCTAGTGTCCACTTAAATCTCTGTGTTTCCAATTGTTTTTTCAGTTGATTCTTCTGAATTCCCTGGGTAGATCATATCCTTAAAAATATAATGAAAATTTAGACCTTTTCTAAATTGCAGTAGCTCTACACTCTTACTTCTACTTTGGTCTTTATGACGTTATTGGAATTTCCAGAACAGAGTTAAATAGTGGTGGTGTCAAGGGCAATCTTGTTTTGCGCCCCACCCCCCTTTTGTCATATCATGTTGGGGACCAGTGAGGCCATTATCCCTGTAGCTCTGTTAATGGGCTCTCAGAAGCCGTGAGTGTTTCCACCCCCCGCCTGAGATCTTGTTTTTCCACCCAACTGGGAGGCTTCTCCTGTCCCATTGACTGTCTGAGCTGAGCCTCCAGGCTTCCTGCTTTAGGCAGATTTTTGAGAACAGGCCAAGTGGCCAGTACTCCTTTGGGGCACCCATGGCCCTCCTCTCAGGACCCTTGGGCTGGAGTCCTGCCATTCCTCGCATGCCTGCCTGGCCATGTTCCTCATTTCTCTGTGTGTGAGTGTGTGTGAGTGTGTGTGTGTGTGTGTGAGTGTGTGTGTGAGTGTGTGTGTGTGTGATGTAGGTTCCCTGAGGCAGGGTCTGGGCTTTACAACAGCTCCCTTCCCCCAGCCCTGAACAGGCAATGAAGGCCCTTGTCATTCCTCAGACATTTTGTTTCAAAGCTGAAAAGCCCCCTGCACATGCCCCTGGCTGCCCCTCAGCCCATAATCCAAGCTTGGCCTTGTGGTCTATGGAGAGGCGGAGCCCAGGAGGGTCAGCCAGCCCAAGCCCAGGGTTGTGGGTCTCCAGACACCAGGCCACCAGGGCTGGAAGTGCTTCCCCTCCCTCTGCTTCTGACCTGTGTCCCCTTCAGCCTCAGCTTGAGGGCATGTCAAAGCGAGCCCGATGTGTGACGAGGACCCTACTGGAGGGCAGAGGCACATGTGGGTCCTCCAGGCCCTGTGGCCCCCGGTGGGGAGGAAGGCTGACTCCTGCTGAGTGAGTCCCTGGGCTCAGGTTGTGTTGAGTACCTCACGTGGGACATCACTTAATCCTGCTTGAGGAAGGAGCTATCATCAAACCCATTTTATAGATGAAATAGCTGAGGCTGGGAGAGGTGGAATAATTTGCTCAAGGTTACAGCTAGAAAAGGCAGCGTCACCACCCAGGTCCTGCCGGAAGCCACCATCTGCTGGACATAAGGGGAGAGTGTGTGTTGTTCCTCCCAGCTTCCTGATGAATTAAGAAGCCAGGAGCCCATCCTGCTAGCTTGGTACATTCTAAAATATCCCTCCCTGCCCCTCCCTGCGCCCTGACCTACAACAGAGCATTGCAAAGAGCTGAGCGTGTGAAAATCAAGAGCCAGAAGGCCACTCCATGCCTGGTCTGGCATCCCCCGACCACAGCTGTGCTTCCTGGTTTTCAGAGGAAAGCCAGCGCCCCGGGGCAGCTGTATCTTGATGGACAGGCAGCCTTGCGCTAGCTGAGGTCATTGAGATGGGAACAGATGCTGCGTGACATATCGTGTCACCAGCCACCGGCACACGAGTAACCGTGACTGGCCTTCCCTTCACAATTCTGAAGTGCTTTCATAGCCTTGCCATCGTCTGGACTCTCCACCACCCTGCGAAGGACCCATCGTACTTGCACTTGACAAACAGGGAACCCAAAGCTTGTGGAGCGGGGAGTGGGGAGCGAAGCAATTTGCTGAAGTAACTCCAAGCCTGGAGCCCCCGCCTCTCGAAGGCTGGGAACCCCCGGGCTGACAGAGAGGCCTGCCGCTGCCCGAGGGCCGGGACCGGTCAGCTCCCGAGGGATAGTCTGAGGCCTTGAAGGGACACACATGGAGCTGCAGTGCTGACCGGGCAGGGGCAGCTGGGGGAGCGTCAGCCCCAGAATTGCCGTCAACCCCTAATGGGCACCATAAATCAGTGCAAACAAGGTGTTTGCTGGGCAAATGCGGCTTCAAACGAACTGTCCACGTGCACCCATCCCTGAATCATTCTTTGGGGACCCTCTGGCCTCTGCTGGCCTGCCTGGGCCACCCTAAGTGCTCACTCCTGGAGTAGAGAGTGTCCTCTGGGCCTGAGGCTGTCCCCTGGGATGACCTGCGACAGAGATGTGGTGGGGAGGGCTCCTGTCTGGAGCCCGGGAAGCCCGCAGACACAGGGTAGGCCTGTTTCCTGTCTGGGAGGAGGTTAGAGCAGAACCCAGGAGCCTGTTCTGTAGACCACATGCTCCCTGGAATCCCAGACCACCAGACTGGCCACTCAGGGGGTGCCCCTAGTCTTTCCCTCCTCTGGAAATTCATCTGAGACTGTGTCTGAAGCCACCTGGCTGGGACTGCTCCAAGGCCAACCTCAGTCCTGGCCTTGATGACAGTCTTCATGCAAAGGACATAACTTTCTGGGAACAAGTGAGACCCCTGCCAAGGCGCAGGAGGCTACATGGAACAAGGGAATCGATTCTGGTGGTGCCTCGGCCGGTGTGCTGTGGCCACGGTCGTTGGTGCCAAGCTGCATGTCCTGGGGACAGGCTTGGCTTTGCTTCCTGCCAGGGCCCCTCTGTTTGGGAGTCTCTGGGCCCTCCCTATGGTTTTGACAATGGGCTCCCACTCTGTGTTCTCACCTGGAGAAAGGGGCATCAGCATAGAGGACGTGCAGGGTTTCTCCATCTGCAGCTTGCTTTGGTCTCCCAGCTGCAATAAGCAGGCGTGGACATCACTGGGTGAGGGTGCCACTGACTGTTGGAACCGAGGAGGGGCAGATGAGGTGCGTGTCCCAGGGGTCAGCCTGTGGCATTTATGCCCATTGGCTTCCCTTAACGACCAGTGATTTGGATGCCAGACAGGGCTCGGGCGGATTAAGTGACCTGTGCAGGGTCTAAGTGCTGGGGAGAGGCAGAGCCCAAGGCCACCCTGCACAGCCCCCACCATCGCAGGCCAGAGCAGGCGCCCCCCTGTGAGCGGCATCTTTGGGTCTCGGTCTCTGAGAAGCAGGGTGGGCTGGTCCCTGGAGTGGAAGGGCTGCAGGAATCCTGTGAGGCCACAGCTCCCCTCTGCTTCAGGCTCAGTGCGGCCAGCGCTGCTCTGTACAGTGAGGCTGCTCATGCCCTAGCCAGCTCTCCTTACGCAAACGTCTGGGCAGCTGGGTCTCCTGGGTGGGACATGGTGACCTCCTGGCCTGCTGGCATCCTCCAAGCGAAAAACCTCAGCCTGGAAATTGTGGGAGGCTCCGCAGAGGTTGGTGCTTTCTGCCCGGTGACTGTTTACAATTTCCCAGGCTCTTACCTGAGCTCTCCCAGCCACGGCGGGCCCCAGGGATCTCCTCAGGGGGATCCAGGAGCTTTTCTCTCTCCCAAAGGGGTGAAGACTGGCCAAGGAGCTCCCTCCGGGTACCAGTGCCTGCTGTAGGAGTTGTTGAATTGTGCATTCGCTTAGCAAACTTTTTATTTTGTGCCTGTTCCATGGGCTCTGAGTCAGCTTTCTTGGGTTCGGATCCCAGTCAGGCCACTTCTTGTGGGGCCAGGCTTGGGCGGCGACTTGACCTTGAGCCTCAGCTCACAGAGTGTGTGAGTTGAGGCCTGCAGGGGACCTAGCTCAGGTTGGGCAGGAGCAGCGAAGGCAGAGGAAGTCCCGGGGCAGCTGGGAGCCCAGAGGGGCCCAGCCTTGGGGGCTCAGGGTGCAGACAGACAGGTCCCAGAGCAGGAGGAAGGAACCGTGGCTGCAGAGCATGTGGAGGAGGGCATGGGAGCCTGGGGCTGAGGGATGCTGGGTGCTCATGGTCTCTGCTCTCTCCTCAGTACGGCCAGAAGAAGCTGAAATACCTGCCTTACAACCACCAGCACGAGTACTTCTACCTGAGTGAGTGCTGGACCCCCATAACCACACCTCGGACCCCCTTCTCAGCCCATTGTGGCATCTCTCTCCCCTCCCACCTGACGCCCTTCCAGACCCAGAAAGTAACACCAAACCTGTCAGAGGAGAAGGCACCTCAGCAGCCATCCTGGGCAAACCCCTCCTGGCCTGTGATACAGAAGGGACCCAGAGGCGCAGGCACCTGCCCAGGGTCCCACACTCCCTGATCCTGGGCAGGGTGCCAGTGGGTGCTGTCTGCTCCCAGCCCCGTCCCGGGCCCCGAGGCCCAGCTGCCTCTGCCCATGAATTGCAGAGCTGGTGCCATGTTCAGTGTTCTGCCCCTGGCTCCTCCCTGTCACCTAACCCTGACAGTGGGACAGGCCACTCTAAGCACCTCTGTTCTCTCTCCTGCAGTTGGGCCGCCCCTGCTCATCCCCATATACTTCCAGTACCAGATCATCATGTCCATGATTGTTCACAAAAACTGGGTGGTGAGTCCAGGGGGCCCAGGAGTGGGGGGAGGAGGGTGACTGGGGCGGGTGGGGCCTGCGGGGCCCCAGGTGTCTCCTTCTGGGATGGCTGCTTTCAGTCTCAGGAAGGGACTTGCTCTGAGGCTACCAGGACCCAGCAAGGCCATAGCACCCCAACCCTAACACAGGGCATCCACTGAGAAGGCCACTGCCTTGGCAAGGCCCCCTCAGAAATTCCTGAAGGCGATATGATGAGAGCTGAGTGCAGAGGCCACCCATCTAAGGCTCTGCTTCTGCCTCCAAGACCTGCTGAACAGATTCTGGGTGGCACATGGAGAGGAGCCAGGCACTGGGTGAGACGACAGGCGTGTTAGTTTACTAAGGCTGCAGAAGGAAGGGCCACTAAGTGAGGGGCACGTCTGTTAAACAACAGAATTGTATTGGCTCAGTTGTGGAGGCTAGAGGCCGGGACAGAGGTGTCTGCAGAGTTGGTCATTCTGACAGCTATGAGGAGGGGTCCGGCCCAGGCCTCTCTCCTTGGCTTGTGGGTGGACACTCCATCGTATTCTCTGCGTTTCCCCTGTCCATCATCTTCCCTCTGCATTTCTGTGTCTTTGTCCAGACTTCCCCCTTTGTATAAGGACACTAGTCGTGGTGGATCAGGGCCTGTCCTAATGAGCTCATTTAACCAATTACATGGGCACTGACCTGAGTAAGGTCATGCTGTGAGGTCCTGGGGACTAAGACTTCAACGTACACGTATTTAGGGGACATGGTCCAGCGCATAACACCAGGCTTGGCGGAATCCCTGGATTCTACCCCTAGAGAGAGCAAGGGCCCCTGGAGACGGCCCTGCAGCAAGGGGCACAGGCTTTATGTAGGTGTGCAGGCCTGATTCTGCAGAGAGGACAGTGCGCCCACAGTGGACACCCTAGGTGGGACAGTCACCCTGAGCAGAGCCTGCTTTTGTCAGAGCGGGGTTCACTGGGACAGGAACAGGACCCCTGCCCTTGGGACCAAGTGGATAGTCACTTAGCTGGTCTTTTTTTTTTTTAAACCCAGTTTCATAAATGAGGATATTGAGACTTGGAGAGTTGCAGATTTGCCCGAGCTGACAAGGGCCTCCCAGTGCCGCAGCCTTGGCGCTTCTCCCACACCCCAGCCTCTGCTCTGTAATAACAGGACCTCATGTTTGTAAAACAGTTTAAGGGCTTCCAAGTACTTTGTTTTACATTCTTTCCTTGGCTTTATGGGCAAAGGTGCCGACTAATTATGTTAAGAGGGCCAAGCCTGGGGCTCAGGTGCAGGAGGGGTGTTTGGAGAGGAGGTGTGACTCTGAACTCTCTGCCAAGCCCTGTGCCAGTAAAACCTGTAAGGTATACTTTTTAATTAGTACTGTGTTCCAGGAACAGTTACATCGTTTAACCACTGTTGCCTACGTTATATTGTTTAACCAACCCTGTTTTGGTAGATATGGGCCGGAGGGAAGGAGTTTCTGGATCAGTTAAGTGGTGGGAATTTGAACCCTAATTTCCTACCCCTGTGGTATTTCCACCAGGGATCACCTGGGCCCTAGAAGGGGTCACAGCTGAAAAGGATCATGGTGCTGCTCTTGGGGGCACATTCATCTGTTTTTCTGGCAGGTGACTCCTGACATGAATTTTTAATCCTTCAAAAAACTATGTATCCGAACGGGGCGGACAGCAGAGCCAGGGAAATTTGATCAGGGCCCTCAGGACAGGGCTCTCGTGCCAGGGAATAAGGTTCAAGCTTGGGCTCCTTCTGCAAAACATTGGCTGATTGCAACCAGGCCTGGCACCAGACCCAGCACTCCCCTCGGGCTGGCATGGGGCAGAGGCATCCCTGTGTTGTGGTTTTCTGATTTACGGTAGCAGTGAGCTTCAGGGCCACGTGCAGCTGTGACATGGGGCGGTGTTCCTCAACAGGGGCGATTCTTTTGGGCCACTTTGCAATATCTGGAGACATTTTTGATGGTCACAGCTCAGGGCAGGGATGGAGAGCTACTGGCGTCTAGTGGACATCTAGCCAGGGAGGCAGCTAAACATCCCACTGTGTGCAGGACAGCCCCCCACCAACTGAGCATTGTCCAGACCCACATGCCAACCATCAGCTTCCTGGAGGCCTGCTGTATCTGACACCACTAACTGCTCCTTTTTGAAATTCTCCCTGTCAGCTTCCAAGTCCCACCTCTGCTGGTTCTCCTCCATCTGTTTCCCTGTACCTCCTTCATCTCGTACCCCCTGAAGCCAGTGGTCCTGGGGTCACATAATCACTCTGCACAAAAACAAGTAAGCATAACTCCTGTTAATACACATGAACCAGGAGGAGGTACAGCTCAGTGGTAGAGCATATACTTGGCACGCACAAGGTCCTGGGTTCAATCCCATCCAGTACCTCCATCAACAACAAAAAAAATATATTCTTAAAATTACATATGTACCTACTACTGCACTACATGCACACAAAAAAGGAATTTAAATGAATGTGATGAAAAGTAGGAGCAGAACTTAAAATACTTGCTTCCTCCACCCCCTTAAAGATCACCTCGGCCCCAAGGTCTTGCCCTCCACCCACTACCGGCCCTTCAGGTTCCCCTCCCCACCAGCTCCCCTGACCCCTTTTCCTCAGCACAAGACACTGACACCAGGGACCAGCCTAGATTCCTCATGACCAAGCAGTCGCCAGATGGAGCTGCCCCTGCTTCCTAAATAGTTCTGGAATCTGTTACCCCCTCATCAATGCTGTGGGTCCTGGTTTGGGCGTCCATCATCGTTTCATCCCCGAGCTACTGACAGGACATAATCTCCTCACTTCCACTTGGCTGCGATTGATTTTATGATCCAAATGGGACCATGTTCTCTCCATGGGTCTTCACTGCAACCGAGGCAGAGATCAGTCTCCCCAGACGGACATGACCTCAACCTCTCACCGAGGGCAGGTGGCCAAGGCCCTACCTTCTTGGGCTGGAGTATATGGAGCATATAAAATGTATTAAACACAGCCCCTGCCCAATCGCCTCTCTGGGCTTTCATTTGTATTGTCGCCATTCTGCAAACATCCATCCTACTGTTTTTCACTTGGCTCACCTCTGGTGTATCCTGGCCCACCTCAAGCACCACCTCCTGATGGAGACCTTTCCTAAGCCAGGATTGTGCTGGGAGCTCACGCCATGCTCCCATCACCCCTTAATAATGTGTCCCCTTCTGTATGACATTGGAGGGATCTCTGTATAAGTCTGTCCTTCTAGATGAGGGGCTTCTGAGGGGCTTCATTTTGCCCCCAGCACCTAACTCAGCCCCTGACACAGAGAAGGCATTCACTGAATTTTTGTGGAGCCTAACTGGACAGAGCTCGTTTGAAAGTTGAGTTTGCCGAGCAGATAAGGGGAGAAAGAGCCTCCAAGCGGATACAGCCCAGGCGCCGCAGCCTGGCCCGGCCAGGCAGCACAGAGTTTTGAAGACTGGCTGGTTGCAGATGAGGCCATGTCATGGGCAGGCACGTAAAGGTCCTGTAGGTCCTACCCAGGGGCTGATTTTTATCCTTTGTCCCTCAGTGGAGAAGAAGGCCAGTGATGGCTTTGAGGGTGGCAATAATGTGATCCAGTTTGCATGTCAGGAAGATCTCTGGTGGCACGGTAGTTCAGGGACCAGACTGGAGTTGTTAGAGCTCATACTTGCGGGCTGTGCTTACCGTTGTAACAACTTCAAGCCACGTAGAACCTCAGGGGAATGTTCTTTCCCCACTGTGCGGACGGAGGAGCAGACACAGCTCAGATTACTGACAACTACACAGAGTCGGGGTGAAGCTGTAATTAACCCTGGCAGCCTGACTTGGAGCCTGTGCTCTGATCACTACCCAGCCGAGTCTGTGGGGAGGAGAAGTGGTCAGGGAGAGGAAACAGTCAGTGCAAAGGCCCTGAGGTGGGAACAGGCTGGGGCAGTGTGGCTAAGGAGAAAGTGGTTCCCAGTCCCCGTGAGCTATTCTGGGTGGGGTGGGAGGGCTTTGCAGGGGAAGATAGTCTGCTTGGAGCTAAGATGGTCACTGTAGAGACCAGTGGGAGGCTACTGCTGTGTTCAGCAGAAGCACATGGCCTTGAGGGGCAGTTAGGAGGTTGGGTGCTTGCCAACAAGGCTATGATGGAGGGCAGAGCAGCAGAGGCAGCCAGGGGACGTGCTTGCCCAGGAAGGGAGGGCAGAGTAGAAGAGGGGACAAGAGGAGAATCAGGTCTGGGAAGAAGGCCAGTAGTGTCAGAGGTTGCTGGGAGGCCCTAGAGGTAGGCGACGTCTGGCGTCCCCGGCCTTTATCATTCTGGCGTGAGTGGCCAGGAGGAGGTCTAGATGCTGCTGTGCGGTTGCGAGCATGCAGATGTCAGCGGCTTTGTGCAGATGGTAAATCCACCTTTAGAATCTCTGGGACCACGAAAGGGCTGCTGACCCCCGGCCCTTCCCCGTGGCTGCCCCTTGGCTCGCATCTGCTGGGCCCCATCCCTTTTTGTTTCCCTAAAACACAGAGCATACAGCATCCTTTGGTCTGCTGAAACACTCAGCATTTCCCTAGACGTAGAGAGTGTTGGAGTGTTGCGCACACTGCGCTGGCAGGTGTCGCGGCCTCAGTGGGCCTGGTGCCCAGCTCCCTAAAGGCCCACTGGGGTTTCTTGGCCACCTTTGCCTAGCGATGAGTGTGAGGCCCTGTGTACACATCTGTGGTCAGGATGCCATGCCAGGGAGAGTGGGGCACTCCCACATCTAACCGTGTTTCTCTCCACAGGACTTGGCCTTGGCCGTCAGCTACTATGCCCGTTTCTTCATCAGTTACATCCCTTTCTATGGTTTCCTGGGAGCCATCCTTTTCCTCAGCTTCATCAGGTGCCTGAGCTTTGCTGGTTAATAATTGTTGGTCCCTCAAGCGCTGGCGTTGATGGGGGCTTTGATGTGAGGGCCTGCGAGGAAAGGCTCAGAAGTCCCCAGTTCCTGCCCCAGCGCCTCATCAGGGGCTGCACTCACCCCCCACACCTGCCCTGGGCTGCTTCGGGTTCGGAGGGAGGCTCTGTTCCCACAAGGTGCCTGGGCCCCATGAAGACTGAGCCAGCCGTGCTCACTTCCAGGTTCTTGGAGAGCCACTGGTTTGTATGGGTCACGCAGATGAGCCACATCGCCATGGATATTGACAACGAGGCCTATCGTGACTGGTTCAGCAGCCAGGTGAGGGTGGCCAGAGAGCTGGCCACGGGGCCCTGCAGAGCCTGGAACGAGATCCATGTCCTTGGCCTTCAGAAACTTGGCTGCCCGGTGGACCCAGCATCGTGCTGGGAGGCACAGGGCTGGGCAAGAAAGGGTGGCAGGAACCTTTGGGAGCGACTAGTGGGGAATCTGGGCAGGGCAGTGAGACCCGGGTAAGGCTGGGTCTTGTGGGAAGGAGACGGGCCCTTCGTGCTTTTGCTCCTGCCCACCCACCCCCCTCCCCTACCACAGCTGTTGGCCACCTGCAACGTGGAGCAGTCCTTCTTCAACGACTGGTTCAGCGGGCACCTCAACTTCCAGATCGAGCACCAGTGAGTGCAGGCGTGGGGGGTGTTGTGGGGGGCAGAGGGCCCCAGACCCACCTGGGCAGAGGTGGGCAGACGGGGGCTGCCTCTCTTCCCCTGTGAGGTCTCCCACTGGCCCTTGAACATGTTTCTGCGGCCAGCCCTGCTGAGGCCGGGAGAGGGGCTCGCGTGCCTTGTGCCATGTGGTCACAGTACTGACCACCCCCTCACGTGTGGCCTGGCATCTCCCTTGATTGTGTGAACCTAGCAGGTCGGGGTGATCAGTCCCTTTATTGACAGGGAGCCCAGCCCTCCGCCTTCTACATGCTAGTCCCATGTGCCTACCCCCAACCAGTGGGCACATGGGGAGAGGGGGATGGACAGGGCTCCCGGGCCTGGCTGGCCTCTGTGTAGGCCAGGGGAGGAGGTAGGCACTTCCTTACACCAGGGACCCCCACGCTCTCCCCAGCCTCTTCCCCACCATGCCCCGGCACAACTTGCACAAGGTCGCCCCGCTGGTGAGGTCCTTGTGCACCAAACATGGCATCGAGTACCAGGAGAAGCCGCTGCTGCAGGCCCTGCAGGACATCATCAGGTAAGGGGGCCCTTGGGTGCCAGGGCCCCTTGAGGTCCCTGGAGCACAGGGAGGGGACTGAGACGCACGTTTCTGGGACCATCCCTGCTGGAGACCATGGCGACAAGAGAGGTCCAGCCACCTCTGGCATTGGTGTCCCCACCAGGGTCCGCCCTCACTGTCAGTTGCCTGACCTCTCTCTGGGTTGGATGAGGACCTTCCCATGGTCCTTCCACACGGGGTCCCCCGGGGAGCCCTGAGCTAGCACCCTTGCAGGTTGAGAGCTGACAGGAGGCACCCACACTCCCAACCCCCCATTTCCCAGGGATCCCTAGGCCTTGGCCTCTTGTGTCCTGGTCCCTGACTGTCCCTCCCCCTCTTTCTTCCCAGGTCGCTGAAGAAGTCTGGGCAGCTGTGGCTGGACGCCTATCTCCACAAATGAAGCTGCAGCCCTCAGGGCACCCATGGGGAAGGGGGAGCTTGTGGGGGTGATGGTCAAAGGGAAGTGTGGGATTTTATTCTGAGGGGTATGGTGAAGCTGTGGGATATGCTGGCTTGCAGACTCTGATTTTTGGTCTTTCCTGTTTTTGCTGTCTGGTTTCACTGCCTTCACCCTTCTCATGGGGCCTGTGCTGTCAGCCCGGCTCTCCCCAGCCAGGAGCGGAGAGCCAGGTGGCTCCAACCCGGCCTTCGCCCTTGGCCCCTAAACATCTGCCAGACCAGAGATGCACCAGTGCTGCCTGTGACCCCCTCTTGCGGCCTGGCCTCCAGGCTTCACCCCACCCTCTTTTCTTCCTCAGATGCTCTTGCAGTCCAAGGGGCTGGGTCCTAGCCAGTAGGATGGCTCCCTGGCCCTGCAGGCCCGGCTCTGCCCTCTGCCAGCTGCCCACCGCTTGCCCTTACATGGGGCGGCGCACTTTGCGCCTGAGGGCTTCTTCCCACTGCCGAGATCAGTACTCGGGGCATCCCTGCAGGCCCCACTTTTTCTTCAGATGTTGGGGCCCTGGCCCTGACTCCAGGCTCCCTTTGCCTGCAGCACAGCCAGCTTAGGCTTCAGGGACCAGGGAAATGTCCTCCTGGGCCCACTGGAGCCCTCTGACCCAGGACTCCAGGACAGTTCCATCCCATCTCCAGAGCCTGTGACCTTGGGTCCCAGGGAGCAGGGCCACAGATGGGCTCAGGAGAAGCAGCAGCCAGGTTGTAGGCTCAGCCCTGTTCCCTATCCCTGTTCAGATGTGTGTCCTGGTTGGGAGGCCTAAGATTCCAAAGCAATGAGACCTTTCCCCACAAATGTTCCGCTACCTGCCAGGCAGTGCCAGCCAGAACCTGGTCATTTGGGCCCTATAGGCCGCAAGAGGGCGCTGGAGCGGGGGGTGCTCATCACAGCCCCTCCTCGGGTTGGGGCTGCCAGCGTGGACGTGCTCTTTCATGGTCTTCCACGTTCTTGTGTCTTTTCCTGGTTTTTCTAAGCTTTTGCTACAGATACATTCTGATGGGGGTGGTGGGACTGGGCCTTGTGACAATCTGCCTTTGTCTACCTGCCCCTCAAAGCCTCCCCAGGCCCTGCAGTGGGCTGAGCTGGGCTCACTCACCGGGGCCATGGTGGCCCTGACTGTCAGGAGGGCCATGGGGCACAGAGGGAAGGAGTCGTAGAGAAGGTGACCCTGAGGATCCAGGAGCTTGGGAGGGGACCTAATGAGGACCAAGTGGGACAAGGAGGGGTCAGGGCTGGAGGCCAGGCAGCTGAGGGGACAGGAAAGTGAGAGGGGAGGGTGCGGAGCCTGGCGCCACTGGGAAGACCCAGCGCTGCTGCATTTGGAAATTAACCCACTAACCAGTATGTAGTCTCGGGGGTGGGACAGGACAGGAACCAGTTCGGAGTGGGGACTTTCAGGGTTGGGTGTCTGTTCCCCCAGCTCCAGCCAGCTAGGAGGGACCAACCCTCCTGTGACAGACCTTCGAGTTGCTGTTGCAACATGGACGCGCCTGAGGCCCTCCGGCTGAGAACTGGCTGGCCCAAAGGGCCACTGTCCCTCCCCAGAGGCGGAATGGATCCATAGGGAACTGATCTTAATTTTTATCATGTTGCTTCCCCTACCTACATTTTTGGAAATAAAAGAAGTTAATTTTAGTCTCAGTTCCTTGATTAGCGCCAGCCTGATGCCAGGCTGGGTGTTGATGGAGGAAGGGGCCTGGGCACCAGGGAGGGCGCCACTGTTTCCCCCTCCCCTACCCTCCTGCTCAGAAGAGAATTTCCTTTATTCTTCCTTGAAGTGCACTCCAGGCCAAGAATTTTAGGCAAGTGACCCAAATAAATGGCCCTGCTTTCTCTTCCTGGGGACTCTCCACAGCTCCCGAAAACCCACCGCCACTGGAGCCACGTGGGGCTTTCTGGAAGGTCTCTGGAGGGCAAGGGGCTGGTACACGCCACCTTGTGGACATCCTCGTTCTCCATCCCTCTCATCTTCATTCTGGGACCAGCTGTAGGCACATGTGGGCTCAGGTCGACTGGCCTCTGCTGGACTCCCCTGGTTAGTGCACCGAGTGCTAGGGACAGAGAGCCCCAGAAGGGGCTGAGGAAAGCTTTAGAGACCAGTCTGTCTTCTGGCCCCTGTGCCCATGCAGTGGCACATTTGGTGCCCACAACTGGGCCTGTGCCATCCCAGCCTAGTATTACGGGTGTAGGCCATGGTATGGAGGCGGGTCCTAGGGCTGTCTGACACCCAAGCCTGGGGAGAGGCCAAAGGAATGTGCCACTTAGCCTCTTGGTGGCCCCTACAGTGCTCTCTGACCACCCACCTCTGGACTGGCTCAGCTGGCAGGTCAAGCTGGGCGTGCCAGGGAAGGGCCAGGAGGTTCAGGGGGGCCAGCACCTCAGGGGCCCCCCCACCTGGTTTTGCATCTTCCAGCAGGGCTGGAGAGGGCACCAGAGTAGGTAGGCCCTTGTCCCCTCTCTTTCTCTGCCTGTGACCTCAGGATAGTCAGCAAGGACAGCCAGCTGATCTGGGTAGGGTGTGTTTGATGCCCCCCAGGGGCACAGGGACTCTGGAGTAGGACCCAGGGTTCCAGAAGCCCCGAACCAGGAGGTAGAGACAACCCCTGGCTCACTGAGTGGCCTTGGGTGAGTCCTATGCCCTCCCCAGCCCTCTTAGGCTGTAGTCTCATTTATACAATGAAGGGACTGGGCGATAGGGCTCTAAGGATGCTGTGAGCCCTTGGCCTTGCCCCGATGCCCATTAGAGGCCTTTGAGCCTGGAAGATCTTGTGGAACATACCTTCCCTCCCTCTTACCTGTGCCTGTGTTCTGCCTCCTACCTGGGCTGGGCCTGGCACTCTGACTCCCAGGATGGTACAGTACAGCCACAGACACACACACACGCAGGCACCTGTGCATGCACACCCCTGCACCTTTGCCATCTGTAAGTCTAGGGTTTGTCACCAGTGACAACCAGGATCTTGAGTCTGGCGGGGGGTGGAGGGGAGAGAGGTGAGGAAGACTCTGCTGCGGCCATGAGGGCACCAGGTAAATCTTGACCCAGGTCAATGGGCACCTGGATCTTCTGTATCTTCTTCCTCCAAATCCCTGCCTTGTCCTGAGGTCTTACCCTTGGGGCAAGAAGCTGGGGACACCCATACCTGCTCCCTGCCCATTGCCCCCTCTTGTCCCCATACCCCGCTGAGGCTCTTGCCCCAAAAGCAGAATCATGAGTTTTGATCCCCATCCTCTGCCAAAGTTGTGACATCCTAACATGCAAGGCCCCAAGGGATCACAGGACCAAAGCTCCATTCACAGCGGAGGCTGAGGCCAGTGGAAAAGGACACTGGCGAGCATCAGGGTCCCTGCTCCTCACCACCCTGCACTCTGCCTGGCCATCTCCTTCACCCCCGACAAGGGAAGAGCTGTTTCCCAGACCAAGGACTCCTCCCACCCTATCAAGTCAAAGGTCAGACTGGCTGGAGTGGGTGGAGCGGGTCAAGTGGGTTGAGATATGCAGGGAGTTAGCCCCTGTGGAGGGGATAAGGGCTCGCCCATAGTGAGGTGGCTACCCTGATAAAAGGGTATCAGCTTTGTGGGTGGCATGTGCATGTGCGGGGTGCCAGGCCCAGAGGAGGGGCTGGCAGAGGAGCCTGGACTGTGTGTGGACCTGGAGCCCTAGACGTGGTCACTGGCCCGGCAAGTTCTCAGGTTCTGAGTGGCACTGCAGGCGCAGCATTCCCGCTGGGTGGGGACGGCCGTCCTGGGATCCAGGGTGTTGATGTTTCCCTGATAGGGCATCTGAACCACCGTAGGAAAGGCATGAGGGGACTGTCTGCCCAGGGGGATTGCCATCCCAGGGTACACAAGGTGCCAGGAGTCAGCAGGTGGCCGCAGGAAAGGAGACTCACAAAGAGAACAGCCATTGCAGAGGCCCTGAAGCTGGGACTTGCTCTGGATCTAAGTTTGCTTTCAAGGCTGGAAGTACCTTCCAAGGACGAAACAGGCTTGGAGGCAGCCAAGTGCTCGTCCCAGTTGAGAGCAGGTGGTGGCCCCAGGACGGCGGACTAATGCATAACATTTTAAAGTAAATGTTTGAGGCCTGTTGCTGGAGGCCCTAAGCAAAAAGCCTTCCACACAGCATCCCTTTTATCTTCAGTCACCCTAGGAAGGCGTATTATCAATCAGAGAGGTTGTACAACTTCCCCAAGGTCACACAGCCTTGAGTCCAGGCAGAGGCAGGGCGCTCCCCCTGGCTGTCTGATTCCAGAGAAGAGGGGGTAGGAGCTGCGTGGAGTGGGTCAGGGTGGGGCTGGGTGGTCCCCGGAAAGATCAGATAAGAAATGCAGTATCTGCACCCCTTCCACCTCCTGCAGGGAGCCCAGTCCAGGACCATGGGCGCCCTGACAAAGCGTGGGGGACAATCCTGCAGCTGATGGGGAAGCTTGGGCTCTCACTCCAGAAGGTCCTTCAGAGAAATCCTAGCTCAGCATTTCAATTTTT